CTTGAGGCCTCAACTATGAATTTACTAACTCGATAATTTGGCTAAGCGAATACTGTATTGGGAACATGGACGAAGACTCGCCACATGGTCTCTTGAGAAAAAGTAGTTTGAATGTCGTCTATCTGTGTCAAGATTGAAGGCAAAAACTGACAGAAACATCACGAATAGCGCGTGGAGATAGATGAAGCTGATTGATAGCTATCACGCGATGTCAGACTGTGAAATTAGATGTGTAGGATACATGAATAATGCATTGAACATCTTTTGTATAGTTCTAATGACAAGAGTACAATGGGAAGAAAATCAGCCGAGCGTTCAGCGAGAGTACCCGACCAGTGTTACTGGTGATAAATTCACAATAAAAAAGACCTTTTATATCCTCACATTTGTTTTACAAAGGCAATAAGCTATTTTGTTGGCGAGAGTTAATAAATAGTCGAACAGAAAAAATTTTTTACCGTTTCATCGTACGTGAAGTTGCTAGATCGATTCGCCTCATTAATAGCACACGCAGACAGTATATCTGTCTTTCACAGTCGAGGGTGAAGTGAGTCGGCACGACGAACGCCACTTGTTTTTTAATTTAGATACTCTAAATTCTACACGTGAATATTCTAATGAATTTCAAATGAAACAATAATTTTCTTCTAAATTTTAGCATGTGCAAAAACATATTCTGCATCATTTACAAATGGTGTGACACCAACAACTGAATGTACTAATTGGATAACATTTAGATTAAGTTTAACTTATTCATCTTATTGAAAAATGCGTATTTATGGTTCAAACGATCCCAATGGTGTTACTATAACAGATTCAGCTACTGTTACTGCACTTGGAGTTGCTTTACGATATAATACATCGTTAATTGCACTGTTAAATGGAGTGTATTGGAGAGCTGGTGCATGTGAATCTGATTACGGAATAAGTTCAACGGGAGGTGTGGTTGTCCATCATCGGGTTATACAATAAGACCATATTATAGAAGTGCAAACTGGAGCGGAATTGCAGGTTCAGCATGCAATGCTCCATCACAAACAATGTCCCTTTATTTTGAATAAAAAACTATATGAAACTTTATTAAAGATAAATAAAACAAGTATGATTTTGTATTGCTAGTGATTATTTATCATGATGTTTAGAACAACTTTTGAAACATTTGTAATGTTACCTGAAAAAGAAAGAGAACTATATTAATCAGAAATTGATACGACATCGAATTTCGTTTGTTTTTATGACATGTTATATAATTAACTGTTCAGACAAAAATTTCATGTTTATTTCGAAAATATTACAGACACACATTAAATTATGTCGACAAATGAATTGGATATTTTTTCCACCAAAAGTAAATAAGAAAGAAATCTTAAATATTTTAGTTTCTACCAAAAAAATACATTGGATGGTTTTCCAAGATGATAATCATATGAAACGATGTAAGTGTGAACGTATTCTTGGTCATCATTCCGGCTGATATCTTCACCCTCAAACGAAAGATAACTGTTCATTTTCACTTTTCTATCCAATAGGAATAATAACATTGTTTCTTCGAGTAGATCTTGTCCAACGTAGATCATTATTTTCCGTACGTGGAATTCGCTGAAATTTTAATGGTAAATATTTTATTACTTGAATATATTTTATGAAAGCCTTCTTTCCATGTTGAAGGCAACGTTGAAATTCTTCACGAAATTTTGAACTTGTTATTGTATAAATATAAAAATTGTGAACTGAATTTGTATAAATAAGATATCGAGAAAGATTTCGTAAAAATTTAAAAATAGTGAATTCAGTTGATGATAATCTATATTTTAATGTGATAATAGCAATTGTATTATAAAAAGTAATAACATGATAAGGTGTTGAGATAATAATTGTTATTAATACTTGAATTAAAAGCATTTTAGATAATTGACGATCATTAGAACGTAAACGTCTATTGTGTAAATTCAAATGTCGATGCGTATTTTGAACATTATAAATCATTAATATACCAAAGATACTCATCAATATAATCGGTAAAATATATGATATTATTGAACCAAATAGAGTTAGAAATAAAAAATATCCTCTTGAAATAATAGTACAACTGATTCCATTCGAAGTTAAAATCTTTTGATAAAAAACAAGTGTATGTGTATAGCTCAAATAAATGACTATTATTGTTATCAAAGTAGCTTTTCGTGCTATTGATAAATTACTTAATCGACGAAATCGAACAATTGGTGAACTTGAAAGATAACGATCAATACTTGCAAGAACAACCGACCATAGAGCAAAGTCGAGAGATGGATATGTGAGAAAAGACCGTATTTTACAAAATGTATTATTTACAATTGATAAATCTATATCCCAATTATCGGCAAGATAACGTGTTAATAAACCAAAACCAATAACAAAACAATCATTGATTGAACCAATAAGAAAATATAATGAACATGGATTGGTTCGTAATTCACGACGAGTAAAAATGATTATATTAAATACATTTCCAAATGAACCAAATAAAATCAGAAGAATTGGAATTATTTGATCAGTCCAATTTCTAATTAATTCCAATTTTTCGATTAAAGCACTCGTGTTATGCGACATGATCAAGATGATAATTTTTTTCTTTAATGTTTCTCGTTGCGTTTATATGTATTGATGGAAAAATATAAGAAAAAACTTGTGTGTCTTTCACGCCTTTTCAAAGTTAATCTGATTTTTCTGAAACCAAATTATATTTTAATTATAATTCATTCATCTAAAGGATTGTCATCTGACTTAATCTTTCAAATAATATTATGCGTATAAAATTAATAAAGGATTTGAGAGCTCGGGGTTGAAGTCTGAGTTTTATATGTACCTGAAAAAGGATATTAGTTGTTTTTTTGATGTGTCATTAGAATGTGAAAAGAGTTACAGGATGGTCCAAAAGTCACGCACCAAAGGGAAAAAATTAAATATACTTCATTAAGGCTTGAGCAAATGAGCTGACTGTTTTATTGATAGTAGGGGCATATACAAGCTTTCCATTCATATAGATATCGCTAAGTATACCCTCTGTTAA